AAAATCGTGTCGCATTTTGTTTTCTTGGACCTGTTTTGGACCTTCTCTCAGGAGGAGCCTGGTCTCAAGAAGCCACCTATGACACAAGATCACTTCTACCAGTTACTATAAAAAAGAGATTGTCATTTAATGACAGCGACCCCTGCTCGGTTCATTGCTTGTTTGCGAATGAAGCCTGTGGGGAGATGTGTGTACGAGAGGAAAACCGTTATCATTAAGCTTGAACCAGGTTTTCCAAGAAAATCACATTTGTGCTCTCAGCCCTTCTCCATATCTGCAGTGACCCATATCAAAGGAAGATCTGGTGTGAAAGGCCCCTCAGCCATTATCGACAGATATGAAGTGATCGATTGACCTTTGCCACTCTTTGGTACTACGCCACAAGACCAGGATCATCTTCCAGTTGTTGCATTTTTCTTCACCCTTTGTTCTTATTCTTCTAGATTTTTCTTGCTATAAACTGCCCCCTACTTCACAAACCCCAGTGCCTGTAATTTTTTGAGTGTTCGCCCATAAATCATAATCAGATAGTGGTGATTACTCTGAACTTTCTGCATGTTTGTTCCGATGAACTATTGGAAACTAAAATAGTTTTCTTTCTCTTTCAAGAAGGATCCAACAGTCGAAAATTACGAATTTACTGCGATCGCACACCGATTAGAAATGTGCGGCATCATAGGATTGGTGCAGGCTGAGGGGGTCAAAGTGAACGGAGCTCTGCCTGTCCTTGCCGCTGACGCACTTACTGCTCTTCAGCATAGGTATGTATCCAGTTACTAAGGTTTCAAACACCTATAGAAGCTTTTCGTCGACTCAGGACGTTTACCGAATTCTATGCTGGAAAAAAGAGTTAATATAGGCGACAGGTTGTAGAGTTTTAATGAGTGCCGTAGTATTCTGTTCTGTTCAGAGGAACGGAATCCGTCGGACTTGTTGGTTCGAATGGTTCTGATCGTCAGCACCTGGATATCGTCAAAGGACAAGGGCTTGCCAGAGATGTGTTTGTGGAGGAGAACCTATGTAAACTGAACGGTGAGCGAAAACTTTCTCTTACTGGTTCTATGCGATTAAATCACTGCATTATCAGTGGGAAGATGAACTCGAGAGGAAGGGAACAAAAGACTTTTAGTACATTCATGTGAACATTATTGCAGTTTCAGGAAATTGCTCTAGATTCTTCTCCGATTCTTACCTGAGTAAGGAATGTTTTACACACTAGACTATGTTTCTTTGCTCGGCAGCAGGCCTATCAAACGTGATAATCCTTAGGACTCCGATAAGATAGAGTGAATTATAGAATCGAGAGTCATCATTGGACATAATCGTTATTCAACGGCTGGAAGAAAGCGATGGGCGATTAACTGTGTACAGCCGTTTGTCGTCTACACTGCAATAGGAACTGTAGCGATAGCACATAATGGAGAGCTGGTGGATGCGAATAAAATGAGGAAAGAGGTATGAAATCGGTATAAATCGAGTAGAAAGGTGTAAAAAATAGAGAAGAAGTGGAATAGCATGACTTGCAGCGGTAGTTTCCATCAGTGGGACAGGCTTTCAAGACTATTTCGCTCTTTCCGTGGTTACTCTCTCCCAAGTGGATGCGCAAGACATCAACAAAAAGGGACTAGGGGGATCATATGCCAACAAGCTCTTTTAATAGCGAATACTGAGATTTGCTTCATAAACAAAGACATTAGCTGCAGGTAAACAGCGAAGAACTCAAATAAGAGGCTGTATAGTTAGGACTTCTCCCTGAAGAACCCGTTTTCACTCTATTCTACCTGAATTGGGAAGTCAGTCGCCCTTAACATAAGCTTTTCATCTAACAAAACATAATGAAATCGTAAGAAAAACTGACAAGAATTGAATGAATCAAGCTTTTTCAATCACAACACTAACTGACAATCAAAAAGTTGTCGTTAGACTTCAACAGAAATCAACTTCAAGCCTTGAAGGAATCCGAAAACTGGTTGTGGTATTGCCAACGAAAATTACCTTTTAAGGTTCTTCATGAAGGCGTTGGTTTGTCAACCGACACTGACTCCGAGTTGATTGCACAAATGGTGGCAAAGGCAATAGGGCTTAATTACAAAAGCCGTTCTAATCACGATTGGGGTGATATTTCTAAGGTAAGACATGTTCCATTGATAAGTGTAGGGAAAAACTCCCTAGCAAGAAAGTACCAATCTTTTTTCTTCCCTTTTCAATTTAAATCTCGGTCACTGGGGATTTTTCCTTGTTGGACGGCTGAAAAACTAGTTACTCCAAATCTATAGGGACGGATTTGTTATTTCTTGCTACTTAATTTCGATGCATGACATTTATTTTCAGGAGCTAGAGGTGACAATGTCGTCGCTCAACATGTCCTACTCATTAGTGGTCATGTCTTACGATCGTCTATACGCTATCCGTGATCCTTACGGCAATCGCCCATTATGCGTCGGAACAATTTACAACAAGGAAAGTCAGTTTATCCATTCTACCAGTACTCAACTCAATCACTAATGAATTTGTCATTTGAACCATGGGCTATTCATTCACTTTAGAGACACCCGCTACGCCAGTAGCTTACATTGCTGCCTCTGAAAGCTGTGCCCTTCCAAGCTCAGCCAAGCTGAATTTCGAAGTCCGGCCTGGTGAAATCGTGGAAGTTTCTAGAAAGGGAATACGCTCGGTATACCAGGTGCCTTTTTCGCTCATGATAAGCTTTATTCGTTATTTTTGATTGAACTTTTCTAAAATAATCAAGTAAATTTATAAGATTTCTACTGAACATCCAACCCAAATAACATGAAGCAGGCTTAACACTTTCCAAGATTAAAACCGAAGATTTCGAAGCAGTGGTTATTGCTCGACGCTCTTTTGAGATTTTCCTGCAGACTTTCATTTTGGTGGTGCCTTAATGCGGATCTCGTCAATACGATGGTTTGATGAAGCCAGCCGCATACATTCTGTCATTCTCCCAGACGAAACTATTACCAAATAACGAAGCGCTCAGATGGCCAGAATGGGCAGTAAGGCGACATCTCACTCCCAGACCATATTTATGTATAGTAGGTAGCGACTACGTGGTCACTTAGAGGTAGACCTTCGCCGGCATCTACACATAAGAAAATCAAATCTCGTGGTCCTTCTTCCACATGCATCACAAAGAGACGTCGGTAGCTACGCTGCCTGTTCAAATGAGTGACTTGAAAGGTCATGGCCAGATGAGTCGGTGTTTTATCCTCACCTCCTCCACACACTCAAACGAGTCTAGTTATAATCTTCCCGTTCCGGGAAATGGGGATACCTTAGTGATCAACCTGAGGTTGCAAACAGAATTTAGTGAGCTCGTTGCTAATCGGACGCAGCACTGCTCCACTCTCAAAGAGTTAACATTCAAAGAATAGTATGATGAATAGCGGTCATTTCCCAACATATATCCTTCTACAGATGAAACCGCAGTCACCACAGGCAATGTGTATATTCGAATATGTCTACTTTGCTCGAAATGATTCAATAATGCAAGGACAGCAGGTGCAAACGGTCAGGTAGGTTTTTGCGCAAGAGTTTGTACAAATCTGAAACTAGAAATTGTCGAACACAAAACTCTATTCATGACTAGTTGTATGATACTTAGAGTGTTGATGAATAAGCTCTATGACTCATAAACCGAGTTGCATTTGAGTAGAGTCATAATGCCACGGACATCAAAAAATGTTTCCGTAGGGAATCGAAATTAGGAAAGACGAAGCCTAATATAAAACTGTTTTCTACTTCAACTAATAAAAGGAAAAAGTTGAAACATATGAGTTCCCAGGACGTAGTCGTGCAATCCACACTAATTATTAGCAGTTTGTTTTAATCGAAAAAGTAACTCCCCAATCAGCGGGGAATAATTATTATGATCATAAAGAATCTCCATATCTGTCTAAGGTCATGAAAACAGCAAAACCATGAAGTATTACTCAGTAATAATGGCTCAACTATGCGTGAAGAGAATAAACTCACCTGCATTCCAATCAATCTGTTCTTTCTGTTTGTGTTTCTGTTTTGTGTTTGTGTGTAGACATGAAAGTAATAGGAGGAACATGGGGGGGGGGGGGGGGGGGGGGGGGGGGGGAGNAAAAGAAACAACAGCCAGGACGAAAAAAGGTGGAAAGAAGTCGGATCTTACTTTCTGTTCTATGGGACTTCGTGCTCGACTAGACACAAAAAGGGCCATAGGAATAATTAAAAAAGAGTTCATCTCCAACCAGAGGGCACTGAACAATCGAATTCGGTGGAGATCGAAGGGTATACTAGGATGATTTCTGGTTGTAGTGTTGGAGAGAAAGTGATTATATTGTTAAAGAGAACAATGCGGCCGAATTCTTGCCCAGGAGAAACATGTCGATGCGGATGTGGTTTCAAATGTGCCCGACTCTTCAACATCAGCCGCAATCGGCTATGCTGCTCAGGTAACCAGCAAACCAAAGACCAAGAAAAAAAAATTAAGCCCAAAAAAAAATTTCACTTTTTATAGCTCCATACGCACTTTGAGTGGGTCACATCCCATTTTTTTGGGTGCAAACCTTGGCTACTCCCTTTGTAATTTATTATAGAGAAGCTATTAGACTGGCAACTAGACATTTATACCAATTTATGCAACTACCTACCAACCTAACAATTCGATGTACTGTTGAATACCATCGTACCGGAAACACCGTTTCAGTCAGGTATACCATATGAACCGTGTCTTCATCGAAATAGCTATGTTGGTCGATCGTTTATTCAGCCGTCAAATGCAATGCGACAATCTGCTATCCACAAGAAATTCGGTAAGTGCTATTTTCATAAACTGGTTTTTGATATTGATAAACGAATGCTAAATAAAGTGGTCTGCTTGTGACGAGAAGGAAGCAAAAGAAGTCGTAGAATCTAGTAAATCAAGTCAAAGCCGACCCTCGGAGTTTCGTGAAGACAAATACCAAACCTTTTCCGGAAGCGTCTCGTTAAGGAGGCCGACAATAGAAGAAAATGACGAACCAACCGTCTCGCTCAAGTGGAGGCGGGATAGGCATTTTAGGCGTAGTTCGTTGATGACAATGATACCAGTCCATTTTCCGCCTCGTAGTTGCTATCTAGTTTCCCACTTGACCATCTTCCATTACAATTTCCTACTCATGGGTTCCTTACCGTACCTACTGCCTACCGTACTCTCCTCGAGAACATCCATCTGTGTTCCCGTTCAAAGTACAAAAATTCAGGTGTACTACGCAAGAATGTTGAAGGACGTCGCATCGTTCTGATTGACGACTCTATAGTTCGTGGAAATACCATGAGAATACTGGTAGAGATGTTGTGGAATGCAGGTGCAAAGGAGGTCAGTCAGCACATGTGTGTAACCCTTGCGACACCGTCATGAATACATTTCAGGTACACCTACGCATCGCATCACCTCCAGTCAAATTTCCATGTTTCATGGGAATAAACATTCCTACCGCTGAAGAGCTACTTGCTAGCAAAAGGAATCTCGCAGAAATCACCGAACATATCGGCGCGACTTCAGTAGAATACCTTTCAGTCGAAGGACTTCTAAAGGTACTTTTTTCCGATCTCTGATGTTTCATGTGACTGATGAAAAATAACCCAGGCTGTGCAATCGGGCATCGAACGACGGACGAACTTCGATATCGGTCACTGTACGGGATGCCTTACAGGAAAATACCCTGTGGCTATCGACTTCTGAAGAAGATCAGCCAAAAATTAGTTCTTGAGCAGTTTAAATGTACAGAGATTATTGTTTAGCGAATAAAATAGGTTTCTTAGATTTCTTAGTTAGTCGAGCAGCTACCGGCTCTTTAATCCGTGAAGTTTTAATCCGTGATGGAATGCGAAAATATGACAACTCTGAAGAGACTGTACTACAGGCCGGTGATATGAAGTTATCGAGTGAAGTAGTTGCCAAAGCAATCTCTCGGAGAGCCGCTCCCAAACTGTACCGAGGACTCACTCAGGGAAAGTCAATCCGGCAAAGAATCTAGCGAGATGGAAGTTGTCAATTGAGACAAAAGAGGAGGTGGCTTAAGGACTCTCTCTACCCAGTCATAAAGAATCTCTCAGGCAGTCTCATGATGAACGCCCCTCAAAGGACTATCAGAAGTAGAGTGAAGTGGTCGCGCTGATCACGTTTTTCAACTTAAGGCACGACGAAAATTGTGAGCGCATAAGTTAGAACAGAACAACTAGTTAAAATTCGCACGTTTTGGACTAAACAGAGATTTGAAAGGTTATCAAAGGCTAGAACCACGCTTCTAAGAATTGGATAAACCTGCAAAGTCCGAAGGTTGAAGTATTCAAATTTTGAAAAATACCAGCGCGTTCTCTGCGTAGCTCCATTTTTTTAATGACCGTATTTCGGGGAGCAGACATAATGAAAGTTCCAGTACATCCCAAGATATACAGCCACTACAAAACGCAGCATGTTAAACCCATTGATAAGATTTTCAAGAATTCCAGTACGGTTCACATACTTGACGACCGTTGAAGTAATCCAGCATTCCTCGCAAACACGACAATATAAAAAATTTTATTCATACTCTATAACATTTGTACACAGTGATTTTTTGTGCACTAGAAAACAGTAGTATACCTGATTCCACATACACTATATACCTATTAAACAATATGAACCATGACTATAAAAAAGTAGTTGTAGGGGTGGAATTCTAGAATACTTCAGTGAACAATTTTATCTCATTTACGATGAAGGGCACGAAATATTCTAAATAGAGTCAATCGAACCGTTTCTGGATTGAATCAATCCTCAAAAGAGGCAAACAAGGGGGTATTCCAACACACTATTTAAGTACGGGAAATAAAGAAGAGGCCAACAAGTTACCGCATATTATGAGAAGAAAACATCCTATTTCATTTATGCTGGCTTACAACAGCCTCATCCGAGTTCACTTTGCGGACGATATCCTTAACGATGGCGCAATCGGGTGGAGCGTCAGTGAAAAGCGTTCCCACAAAGGCATTGGTTCCCCACACTACATGTTGGAGGACCTAAATGAGAGAGCTTCAGGCCCGTTTTTCCGCAAACCACCAGCAGTGCAACAACCAAACTCGAATCGAACATAATGTGACACACACGGGAGTGAAAGTCCTTAATGGACATCACGTTCGCTCATTAAAGGCAACTGCAAGGTTCATGATTTTCTGTGAACTTTATTACTTGACCACAGTGGTAATTGCATTGAGAATATACTCACCTTACAGCAACCTAGATCCTCAATTTGGAATCCCATATCTTTGTAAGCGTCGTCTGTTTCGAAAAGAGTGTGATTAGTAAACTTCCCTGAAAGAAGGAGAAAGATCATCGATACATACAGTCACATTTTACATTGGGTTGGTGTTAAGTGAATGCTCTTTTCTTTTGAACGATGTTTTATTCATCGAGAAGAATAAATAACAAATAACAACTGCAGAGGGTGGAAAGACACATGTCCGACGGGTGTGCTCTAACTAATAAGCTTTAGACCTGTCGACACCAGCTAAGAATGCGTGGTCGTCTGAGGCTGATGGAATCTTCTTTCTTCGTTTGTAAGGCTTGTGTCGAACGATTTCAATTTACTGACCCAACTTCAGTCCGACATTTTCCTTTTGGCTACTTTCCAAACAACTTCGTTGAGATCACGGAATGCTATGCTGATCCCCAACATTACAACATATAAAATAATGGGACAAAATTGATTACAATTATCTATGAAAAACTTTAGCAGCTTGATATTGCAGCAATCATTTCTGGAAAAAAAATTCATATAGAGAACCCCTTATCGGGAACGAATGGCAAAGAAAGTTGAAGTTGCACTAATAGTAAGAATCATGGGAATAAATGTTTGCCAATACTCTCCGATAAATCAATGTTACCGCTGAGTTTCCACCAATACCAAGAAACTGCTCATTTATTGAATTTGGATCTTACCTAGGTACGGTCTGCCGGAGGAGGGATCAATGAAATCGGCCCAGTAACCACAGCGGCGAAGAGTTGAGCAAATGGCAGTGGCAGAGGAGATAAACTGAAAATATTATAACTTATTCGATAACTCAAAGAGAAATGGTTCGATAGTTACTGAACTTATTTTTCACGCAAGCAATTCAGACACTTAAGTTGGAGGAAAAAATCTCGAAGAAGAGTAAAAAAAAAAAACTGGAAAATCACGAAACCACCCACCGAGGCAGTAAGCATTTCACGTTCCTTTTCCATCTCTTCGTTCCAGGCTTTCATGTCATTTTGCGTCTTCTGAGTGATGTTTAGCACACTGACAGTAACGTTATCGAACTGCATTCCAGGAAACAGATGTTTCATATCTGAACACATGAAATTATGAACAGATTCCAGATTAACTGGCATCGAGCTTTGCGATTGGATTTTGGCCGAATATCAACTTTTACCAACCAACTTTTTCACTTTTAATGCTAATGCTCCATGCTGAAAATGGCAATGAAAATAGCTGTATCCAGATGATTACCTTTCTTCAACAGTCGTGGGCATTCTTGAACCTTCACCTCGACGGGCCAATCACCAGCAGCTGCTTGTGCCTAAATTTCAATGAAAAACACTTGAGGAACGTAACTACGGACTGTTGTTTTTACATGATTATGCCTCGCTGCGCCTGGGCCGAAACAGGAGTATGTTTATAAAAGTTTGCCATCGAGAGATCACTTTCGCTTTTAATCAAAGAACTGTTCCTAATACCAAGGGGCTACCTGCATCGATGTGCTTTGAGTTAATAACGGAAGAGTGAATATACTTACTTTTCCAAAGCAAATGAAATAGGTCATGATTTCTAGATAACTCAATATATGCTAGTAAAAAACGCTTGAGTTCAAAATAGAAGAATCAGTCTCGAGGAATTTGTAACAAACAAGCCAGTACCGAGCCTCCTCCCTGAGATACCAGCGCATGGGTTAGGCTGCCTGCATGTCTCTTGAGCCAGTTTGGTAAAGACAGTTACGTCAGGACTACCTGCAGTTGATGAGAGCAGCGACTATGATGGGGCTTCGTCACAAATGTTCAGCTGAACAAAATGCCATACCCGTTATCATAAGGAGCGCGGTTTATGAATAAGAAGAACCTTTTGAGATGACAACAGCAAGACATTGAAGTACTCTCCTCAAGACCTTTTCAGACTTCTTAATGCCTGAACCGCTAGCTTGGTATGGAAAAGTAATCAGGGTCAGATAGCACTGGTTTGATGAATTTTGAAAGCGAACGTCGAGAAAAAGATTAAGTTATGGATTTCGTTTAGTCACGGACAACAATGCTAAACTTATGAAATTTCTGAGTTAAAAAGCACCCGAGCAACAACTCCATTTACCTCTTCGAGAACAGACTCCTGGACTTTGGATGAATAAGCGGCGTCAGCGTCAATTCGGGATGTTGACAGCAAGTCTTGAACAGTACGGGTGTTCTGGTCCATCAGTGATGGGCCAGCCGAGCGCTGAAATGAAACTGTCAGTGAAATCCTTACGCACATGTTAACTTCTGAAAACGGCCAGAAATATTTACTGAGAAAACATCTGACCAAGTGAAAGTTTAGATAAAGAGGGGAGAGAAATGATAAATGGTCCCCGATAGGCTCGTCCAACTCTGCGTCTCCGCTTCGTGTGTGTGGCGATGTGTTCACTACACTACACTGTATAAAAATAATTGATCCACCGGAATCATAGTCAAGCACCATGCCGCGAAAATTACACTAATAAATGACCTCTTCTGATTTTCCAACAAAATCTAAGCGGCGCTTCAGATCCATGCATTTTCCTCGATAGAACCGTTGAAAAACATATAGCATCCACCAATAAGTGTAATTAAGTCCTGTTTATTAACCATGATCTGACCAAACTGCTAATTTTCGATCTTGAGCTCTGAAGAAGAATGTAAGGTGGCCTAACAAGAGCGACTGATGAAGCCACTTTTAGCAACGCCACAGAATCTAGGAATCAAACCGTTGCTCAAATTTAGAACTACATAAAAGCGAGATCCAAAGCTCTTCGGCACCATCACCATTACTTCGAGTACTTTTCGAGCCAGTGTATGTAAACACAGCAAATTAAAATAAGAAGTTGGAATGACGCGGATGCTCAAAATGGAAATGAACAGATGAAGGAAGCATCTGTGATAGCCGTAAATATCTCAAAAAACAAGTCATATAAGCGGTTTGCGCAACAAAATAGGATTACTGCATGAGGCTAAGAAGTTTAAGAACCACCATAATGTTAGAAAAGAAATCCGTATCAGCAAGTTTAGAATAGGACGATCACGCCATGTAGTTAGATTAGGCGAAAGAAAGGAATACATCCCTCTTGTCGGATAGTGATCTCACCCCAGACCCACACTATAAGAAATATTCCTATATAACTCAGCCAGTATCTTCTCTTTAATGAATCCACCATTACATGTAAACCATTATGCAGTCTGTGCAGAAACCGCATAATTTTGTATCCGGAAGTGCACAAGGGAGAAAACTTGCTCACACCTGAACTACGTATCATCGCAGTTGTTCAACGTATTTCGGAACAACGAGAGTAAATTTATACCCGTCAGCAATGACTCTAGGTATGTACCTCGCTCTGGAAAGAAGTTTTCCCATTGCACCTCTTTCTCACTTCCAATCAAGGGACATAGCAGATAGTCGGTCAAGTGTGGAAGCATTCTGCAGGAAAAAAAGTTGGACCTCATCACATTCGTAAGGACTGGGAGGACCGAGGACGGTATAACTACTCTGAATGCAGACATTTACATTTTCAAATGTTTCCCAAAGTGTAATAGTCCACTCTTACGGAGCTATATCTGCCTTCCAGCAGTGCAGCAATGGCAAGCATCGCATGACTACTGGGCGAATGTAATTTCGAACCCATGGGTTTTCAATGGTAGGGGGTAAGTTGCTTGAAATAAACTTCATTGAGCCAGGGTGGCAACAGCTATGGCGTCATAATAGTACTTGATCACAGCTGCACACAGAATTCTTTGAAATTCGTCAAATTATTGACCAACATGACACCTGCTCAAATATTCAAAATCGGCTGTCCCACATTCTCCACATGGACTCAGTGACAACTGAAAGGACCAATATCGACACGCGACGGGGATAAAACGCTGTACTCCAATCGAGGCCTTTGAAGGCAACAAGGATAGTACATATAAAAGCTTTAAGCCTTAGGGTAAATGGGAGAGGTTATGCCAACAAGCATATCACCCAAGTTGAATAGCCTAAGGAATGATGGTGGCACATTCGTAAGGAAACCATCTCATGAAGATGCCGAATGTGGCGTGAACAACTCCGCGTGAATCGTACTTATTACCTACGCAAGCCAAGTAAGTAACCATACAAACTCACCAATGAATTACTTGTCCTCATTTTGTCAATATTTAATGAAAATACATATTTTCTTGTTTTTGCAATGAACAAGGAAATTATCAGGATTGAACTTTTTGACACAAATTATGATGAAGCTGCAGGCGTCGATGTTGTCTCACGTTCTCACGCAAGGGAAAGTCTACAACAACAAGCGAGCGAACAGCAATTGATTAAATGCACGCCGTGAAAAAAGCTGATCAATCGCGCCTGACCATTTTCCTCCCAGCAATTCGATAACACAAGAAATGATTCTACATCCAATCAAACGACGCATCAATTTGGAACAAAATGCCAAGTCCAATTTGATGGTGAAACGATGGTAGAAATATGTAATACATGGGTCAAACATGCATAATAGAAAGAGGTCACTGTCTGATATGGTATACGTTTGAGAAATCAATTGAAAGGCTGTATTACATCGCAACATAACACATCTTAGGGACGGTAGATATTAATCTCCGATGTTCAGGCAAAATGAAAGGAACCGTTTGCTGCGACATGAGACAAATTCCATGCGGTTTTTTCAATGAATGGCACTCAAAAGGCAAAATTTGTATTGATTGGTAGCGGCATCACGAGGAAACAAAGCAATTTGAGAATTCATCTATGAACTTGGACTATCACAATGAAATACTTTGAGATTTTACGATCACGCGAATCGTTTCGCATACAGATAGACCAATTCATGAGATAATAAGCAAGTATCTTGATGCTAGCCGATATAAAAGAAGGCTATGAGCAAACCAGCTCATGGTTTAATATCGAGTGCAAGCTAACGCCAATTTTTTCTTATTCTTGGCTGCGCTCTCTTATAAATGCAACATCACTTGCCCGGTATCATCTTATCCGACTTTTTTCCGTGACATTCGCTCGATTTCTCTTTCCCTCTTAGCCTTTTGCTCCCCTTTCAACTCATTCTTGCTGGCTGGCAATACTATCCTTTCAAACTATTCGAAGTTATTTGGAACTGTCCTCTACCGTTTCTAGTTATTGGAAGGGAAACAAGACTGGATGAAGCTTAAAACTGGCTTAACCGTGAACGTACCTGCACAAGTGGCTGTTGTTGGAGCACAATTTTGGGACAAACATCTCCGTTGAGAGGGAAATGTTTGTCGGGCCCAAGAAGAGAGTTTTGACGAGCTAAAAAATAAATGTGAAATTATAGACATCCACAAAACAGCATACAGTTATAGAAGAAATCCAATTCGAGTTACGTGGGAGGCGAACAGTTACACCAGTGACCCCACTGCAGTTCACCGTTTTCAGCTTTTTTCGCGCACGAGCTATTTTTGTTCAAAATGATCAGGAATGTGTCCGATTAGCTGTCGGTCGATGCGCGACTCTTGGTATTATCAATCAGAAATGATGGATTAAGAATAAGAGCATCTCGGAGAGTATAAATCGAGTAAGAAATTTTGATATGGAAAATCATTTGGAATTAGTTAAAGAAAAC